TTTAATTTCCTCTTCAACTCAAGTTTCTAAACTTAAACTCAAGTTAATAAGAGGTTGTTCTTTTGTATTTTTGAGTTAGGGTGACTTTGAGTTATGAGCGAGTTTGTGTTTGGATGTGCACATTTGAGATGTGATTTGAATTGAGAATCTATCTGAGTTTGTGTTTGGGTGGGTCAATACTTAAATTTGTATTTAGATAGTATTTTAATAAAAAAACTCAATGGTGATGAAAAATTTTAATAGGGTATATGGGTGGAGTTTTATTCGTCTTTTTGTTGTGAATGCATAGAATTAAGATCTGAACTCAAGTCACTCTAACTCAAAAAATGCAAACGAACAAGTCCTTTATATCCTAAAAAACAGTCTTAAAAACTTTTTATTTTGGGATATTTACCTTTTTTACCCTATGTTTTGGGTTTATTCAAAAGTTATACCTTCAGTTTTTTATCTCATCAAATTTATATATTTAAATTAGATTTAATACTCAAATTTATATCTTTATATAGTTAACCCTCGATTAACTTTTAAAATACGTAAAATATCCTTAATAAAAAACGAAAAAAGAAAAAAGATAATTAAAAAAACTTAAAATTACGGTATTGATCTAAAAAATTTGTAAAATACAGCTGAAATATGTTTTTTATATTTTTAATTTTTAACTTTTTATAGTATTGGAAGTTTTAGTTTTATTTTCTCTCTTTTTCTCAAGGATACTTGATTATTTTAAAAGTCAAAATCAATTATTAACTGAGATAAGATATATATTTATATATTAAATATAATTTAAAGGTATATATTTGATGAGATAAAAAACTAAAGCCATATATTTTTAATAAACCTAAAATATAGGGTATAAAAATATAAATATCTTTTTTTTGCTGAATCAGTCTCGGGATACTTAAAATGATGTTTTTCTAAATGTAATACAGTTTTAATATTATTTAAAAACACAAAGTATAAAAAATATGTGTCGATATAACATAGGGTACTAAAATAGTTTTATCTCTTATTATCATTATTGTTGAATATCTATTTTAGTTTTTTTTCTAGAGTCATGAATTTCCATCTCAACATTCGGAGAGTTTTAAGGCTAATGTAATATAAGCGGATGGTTTTTAGTACATATTAAATATTAGATTGGATTTAAATAATTTCAACGCAAACGTCAACAGTAGTATTATTTTTAGTAAAAGAAAGACAACTATTGGCCGTGTTTAAAGTTGGTTTTGTTTTTATTTTTAATGTTTTTCAAAAAGAAAAAATGAAAAACGGAAGAGAAACGGCGTTTGACACAATTAAAGATAAAAAACAAAAATGAAAACGATTTTTTGATTTAATGTAAAATGAGAGAGAAATGAAAAACGACTTTGAATCGTTTTTCATTTTTATTTCCGTTTTCTCCTCTCTCGAGCACAGAGAGAGAGACATTAATGGATTTTTTTATACTGAAAATAATCTCTTGATAAAACTACTAAACGCATTTTTAAAAATAATTTATGTCTGAGATTGAAAATATTTTCATGCAAAAAATAAAATCATTTTGCATTGTGTTTTTTTACTTTATATACAAATACATAGTTTTTAAATATTATATTTATCTTTTTTTTAAAAAAAATATAAGTTTTAAGTTTTTGAAATAATATATTTTTTTAATTTGAAGAAAAACTAAAAATGGTATGATGTGGTCAATTAACTGAAAAAGACAACACAATAACCATAAGCAAGTAAGTATTAAAATTTTGCATTTGTTTTATTTAGTGTCAAATTTAAAATTCAAAAAGATATTGCATTTTTTATAAATTGTTTTAGGAGAAAACCATGTAATATCAATGTTAACTTGTTTGATCGGAGGAAAACCCACCTCCAATTGAATTTGGAGTTTGTTAGTAATATAATAACATATCCATCCTGAAAAGAGACAATTTTTAACATATCTCAAAACATTTATGTTTGATTAATTTGGTCAACATTTGTAATTAAAAGAACGAGTTTTCAGTTATTACGTTTTTATTGATAGTTATTTATCAAATATAAAAATTTAATGCTATGGCGTGATTAGAATTTAATCTCATTAATTATTATATATTTATTTTGTCAATTATTCAATTTATTACAACCGCCAGATCAATATCTTACAATTAAAACAACGATATATATCGATGGATAAATATGATAGTAATTATTAAAACCACACCCATAATTAAAAACGTTATTCGTTTCAATGTTATAAAAAGATCATACCTTATATTTTGGATTGTATCACATTTATATATTTTTAGATTTGAATTTATTGCTTTATTCATATCTTTTTCTCGGTAAGTGGTCAATTTCGATAAGAAAAGATTATGGTTGTTCTTTTGGAGTGTAACTTGAGTGTAGTTTTGAGTTGAATTTGAGTTATAACTTGAGTTGAAATTGTAACTTGAATAAAGTTGAGTAAATTGAATAAAGTTGGAACTTAAAAGAACGTGAACTTGAATAAAGTTGTAACTTAGCCTCGTTCGTTTCGCTGATTCGAGTTTAGAATTCGAGTTGAGATGTGATTTTATGTGAGAGCTTTTTACTGTAGTAAAAAAGTTAAATGTGACTGTTTGTGAGAGCTTTATACTGTAGCAAAACTTGAATTCTAAACTCGAATCAGCGAAAAATATAAAAATTTATAAATATGAAAGAAAATTTGGCCAATTTTATAGTCAAAATCAACTTTTAACTAAAAAAGGTAAGCACTTAGCATGAATTTGAAATGTAAAAGTATAAATTTGATGCAGCCAAAATATAAAGATATAATTTTTTGATAACCTCAAAATGTAGGATTTAGAACTAAAAACAAAATCTAGTTAAAATGTTCTTCCTAAAGAATACAAGAAATATAAATTAATACACCATGTTTTTCTTTTGAGTTATTTATCTTTTTGTACTATTTATTTTTTTATACAACACGGGATTGAATTAATAACTCTCTAAACCCCATTCTACTCCAATCATCTCTGGTGTCACTGGACCAACCACTCATTTTAGGTTTATTCAAAATGTATATTCTCAATTTTTTATTATTGTAAATATCCATCAAACAATAAATTTGTAATTTCTAATTACTAAATTAACCTAAGTGGAGTCATATAATGGTATACGTATACATTTTATAGCAATCAAGAACCAAATATTACCTACTACCAAGGTTAATTTGGTAATTTTAAAAGCCAAAATCTAGCATTCGTAGAGAAAAATAATATATTTGCCTATTAAATTTAGTATAACGGTATATATTTGCAACAATCAATAATCTTGTTTTTTTTTTTTTTTTAACTATTAAGGCTTAAAATCCTTATTATATATACTTTTTGACCTTATGACATTGACCCCTTATGTTTTATCAATATTACAGTGATACCCACTTGACTGAAACTAATCACGTCTATACCTCTTAATTGTTTTAAAAAATTACACTGACACCCTTCATTAGTTAACCATGAGTTAACTGTCCAGTTTGATTGTTAATTTTATTTAAATGCTAGAAATGCCCATCTAAGTGCCTGTTTAGTAAGGAGATTTAATTGATTCTAACCCTGGGTCTACACCTAAACCTATGTTTGGAAGGGCAGAGTCAGGCTATTGGATTAGAATCATATTGGAGTTTTGGTCCGGATCAGGGATGTAATTATTGAGAAGACGTTTGGTTTATGTATTCAAAATCATGATTTAGAATTATTCTCGTTTTACGTGTATTTTTTGTGAGAGAAAACACTGTATAGAACTATAAATTATGATTCAGAATCAGGGACGAATATAAAAAACATATTTTTATGAGAGAAAATACTGTATACATTTGCAAATCAGGCCCCCCTGATTTTATTTACCACAATGAAAATCATTGTGCTCTCTTGCAATTAAATACACTTGCAATCATTTGTTCTGGCTTTTAATTTTTTTTTTTGGGTCTATAAAAGCACATTAGCTCACTTTACTGGACAATCAACAATCAAGACGGAAAAAAAGAGAATATGCAAAAGAAATAATGGATTCATGAACAATTTTTTACATTTATTTCTCTTTCAACTTATTATTAATTTTGAGTTATAAATTTTTTTCTAATATTTTCATTTTTTTAATTATATAACGAATTATATTTTTTAAAATTACACGTAACGTAATTTACACGTCGAAAAGCTAGTTCTTATTTTGATCATGGTTTAAAATCAGAAAACAAGACAACTAAACACTAGTTCGAATCACATTTAAGGTTAGAATCAGAATCATACCTACACGCATCTAATCAAAGGTTCCAATCACCATGAATCATGATTCAGATCGTGAATCATGATTCTGAATCAAAATACTCAAATCACCTTGATTCTAATCCTTATACCAAACAGAACCTAAGTATCAGAAATTCTAAGCAGTATAAAATGTTAAAAATGTCAGCTTTATCCTAATTTAACACGGAGACGTTTGGTTCATGGATTAGAACTATTTTTGATTTATGTGTATTTTTTATGGGAGAACATACTGTAGCGAACCATGAACCATGATTCAAATCAGAGTACGAATGCCCCAACCAAACAATCCCTAAATATAGGTTTAGTTCATGTATTTGGAATCACAATTTTGATTTTATTACAGTATTTTTTCTTTCATAAAAAATAAATAAATAAATTCTCACTATTGAGTTTTCTTAAAAAATTTAAATTCAAAATTAAAGCCACCGACTTAAACGTGTGAGCTAAATGAGGCACGCATAATCCAAAATGAGAGGAAAGAATTCTAATGATCCAAAATAAGTGAATGAGTCATAATATAGATGGTGTTCTTGATTCGAGTTTTTAATTTAAGTTGAGATGTGATTTTATGTAAAAAAATTTTATTATAATAAAAAAATTAAATTTAATTATTTTTGAGATTTTTTTACTATAATAAAATTTAAATTTTAAATTCAAATTGGTGAAATGAACGACGTCAATATTTCTAAGTGAATCGAAATTAGGAAGAACTGTGGCATGCAAAAGCAAGACAGAGAACAAAGTTTCAAATTTTGAAAATCTTTTTTCGTTATTTCTCTTTCTTTCTTTCTTTCTTTCTCTGTTTCGTGTTTGTTCGAATCCATGGCGGCTCGCGTGAAGACGGAGGTCGTAGATCCGCCGCTTGGCGACGGCGTTTCGAAGCCTCCTCTTCATCCTCCCCCGGTGATCGACCTCGATAGCAGCAGCAGCAGCGACGAGTCGGACCCGGAACCGGATCCCGAACCGGACCCTGACTCGGACGACGGCGGAGGCGCCGGAGGAAACGGCGCGGCGGAGAAGATGAGAGTGGAGGGGCTAGAAGTGGGGTTGCCGATCGAATTCGCCGATCCTCTTCGGCCGCTGGCGGTGGCTGAGCCTAGGGAATCGGACCTCAAGGTGGCTTCTTCTTCGTTGCAGGGATGTAAGCAGTTCTGGAAGGCCGGGGATTACTTGGGTGCTCCGTGCGGCGATTGGGATTCTTCGTCCGGTAAAACAAGAAACTTTTTGGTTATTTAGGTCTCTTTCGCTCAGTAGATTCGAGTTTTTAATTAGAGTTGAGATATGATATTTTTTTGAGAATTTTTAATTATAGTAAAAAAAAGTTAAATATAGAGTTTTTAACTGTAATAAAAAAAATTAAATGTGATATTTTTTTGAGAGTTTCTATTCCTAAAAAGCCTATAGAAATTCAGAATTAAAATTTTGAATTGTGAAGGCTCCGTTCACTTTATCAATTCGAGTTTAGAATTCAAGTTTTGTTACAGTAAAAAGCTCTCACAAACAATCACATTTAACTTTTTTACTACAGTAAAAAGTTCTCATATAAAATCACATCTTAACTCGAATTACAAACTCGAATCAGTGAACGGACCTAAATGAACTAGGCCTAACTTTTCAAGACTGCTGTTTGGTTGCTGAGAAACTTGAAAGAAACTAGGAAGAAAAGATGAAGGCTTTCGCTACTTATAGCAAGACTTGACTTCCTCGAAATTTAGAAACACATGATTTTTACTTTCTTGTTTTATTCATTTAAATTAGTTTCTTCATCTGGAAGTAGAGTTACTAACTTGGAATCAGAAATCTTCTGGCGTTGCTATTTGAAAATGAGAGTTAAATTTGCAATTTTGGAAATTTAATTAGTTCATGAATTTAGCGATATTCTTTTAGATGCAATGTTAGGTGTGAAACCTGAATAATAATCTTTAAAAAAAAAAAACCTTCTTCTCAAATATGTTACTTTTAGATACAACATTAGGTATTGAACTGGGGTATAAAACCTGAAGACTAAGAAATATAACTTTTCTCTAATATAATTTGTTTTTGGATGCAACATTATGTAACTTGTATTGGGTATGAAACCTTAGCTGTACTAGTTTATTTCTGATTCTTTTTTTTTTTTTTTTGATGAAATGTTACTTCTTGTTTAAAACTGTAGGTGGGATGGATCATGTCAGGGTTCATCCGAAGTTTCTTCATTCAAATGCGACCAGTCATAAGTGGTCTCTTGGAGGTAAGTGAAGTTGTCTTGGATGATGCAATATGGCTATGTTTCTCTTGCCAATTGATCGAACTTGCGATTTTCTGCAGCTTTTGCTGAGCTACTTGACAATGCATTGGATGAGGTACTTCTGTCACATTTTATAAGCTTGTTGTAAGAATTTTTGTTCTCCATTTCTAGATTTTTTTAAAAAGAAAATTATTCCAATGTCAGGTCTGCTATGGTGCTACATTTGTTAACATAGATATGATTGTAAATAAGAAAGATGGGAGCAATATGTTGCTGATTGAAGGTAGCTTTTACTTTCACTTGGATTTCCTTTTGCATGATCCCTCTTATTGGTTTGGTTAGGAGTGAGTATGTATTCGATTTCTTTTTGCAGATAATGGTGGTGGGATGGATCCGGATAAGATGCGGCATTGCATGTCACTGGGGTATTCTGTGAAAAGCAAAATAGCAAACACCATTGGACAGTGTAAAACTAGTTTTTGCGTCTCTCTCTCTCTGTCTCTCTCCACCTTAAAGTCAGCTCTGTTTTAAATGCTTGTTTTTGCAGATGGAAATGGTTTTAAAACTAGTACCATGAGACTGGGAGCAGATGTGATTGTGTTTTCACGCTGCCGGGGAAAAGAGGGGAAAAGGTTTATTTCTTCTTCTTACTTTCCTATAACTGATAAGCGTGAGATTATCTTGTTAAACTAGCGTGGATCTGCTCTGGCCTCTGAGCGTGAATTTTAGTTCAAAATTGAGTTAAGAGCAAATCATGCGACCTTTAATTGAAAAGGGTTTCTTCGCCGCCCAACCCCCCCCCCCCCCCCCCCCCACCCCTTTCTCAAAAATATATTTTATTAT